CAGCAGCGTGAGCGCCCTGATGCCGACACTCCTGGCTCTCACTCCGCTGCTGCTGGTGCTGCTGTCCAGCCCGGTAGCCTTTCGAGTCAAGCGGAGGCGACAAGTCCCGTGCAGCCTGTTGATGCGGGATGTGTCAGCCTACCGGTGCGGTGCTTTTCAGTTTGCTTGTGCTGTGCAACCTGTCTGCAACCCCACGGGAAGGTTTCGAGCCCGAGAAAAGGGCAATATATAGGAGCACACGTAACACACACATCGGACTCGAGCCACCGCAAAAGGGGGGCAATCTATAGGAGCACGTTAAAACATTTAGGACCATCAGAACCATGATCAACAATACCATCATCATCGCTTGCATCTCTAGGACATCGGGGAATCTACACACCTTAGCTGCTATTTGGTTGATTTGCCTGGGTTGTCCTCTATTCGCGGACACGTGTCATAGCAGAACTGGAACTCAAAGAAGACAGCATCGTGTGGTGCGCAATCGAGACAGGAGAACTGCGTCCATCGGAGGAGTTTCATGAGCAGGAGAAAAATGAGGATCAGGAAGAAGTATAACGAGGACGAACAGCACCAGCAGCAACTGGAGTGGAAAGAAGGGAGGAGCAGGAGGACCAAGGGAATGCGAAGGAACGGAGGGGCGACAACGATGAGGAAGGGCTCGGAACAGGAAAAGTGTCCCGCGCTGAGGCAACAGCGCCATTCTGAACGACGGGGGTCCTAACATGAGGCCCACGCTGCAGCACAAGCACCATTCTGGAAGAACCAGGAACGTTCGGAGTGGAAAGGCACCTAGGAAACAACACCTGTGAAATCCCGGTGCAACGACATACGCGGAGGGAGCCGAGCATCTTCCCGACAGGACCAGGGGAGAGAGGAGAGTAATGTTGACAATGCGCAACTGCGAATAGAAGAAGAAAAAACGCCATAAACATCAGTTTGTGGCGCTCCATGCGGATTTCTTGGGTCTGCGCTGGCTGGACCCCCAAGGCGCCGCCGGGGGGGGGGGGTGGGAGGGCCCGCGCGGATCCGAGAAATTCGCGCGGGGCTCCAAAAGTTACTTTCAATGGCGTTTTTTCTTCTTCGAGCGGAACTCGGGGGCGGCCAAGAGGGGGGTGTTCAAGAGGGGGGGGTGCAAATCATGACCGGCGGCATGTGCGCGGCCCAGCGGGGGGGCCAGGGACGTAATGAAACGAGAAGGGGCGCCATGAAATCTGGGGAAATATCATGGCCCCCGCCATGATATCCACCCCCCCCCTAGTCCTCGCCCCCCTCTTTGCCGCCCCCGAGTAACATGGGCCAACATCAGCGATGGCTGCGAGTTCCCGGTCGACATCACTCGGGCATCACAGCTGGACGTGACCGCACAGCATCGGGCACCGGGCCTCGCGCCGCCCTCGAGAGGTGGGCGGGCGCGTCCGTGCACGCTCTCGGGCGGGCGGGGATTTATCCACATCCGCCGGCCGCATGGGAACAGACGCCCTGGTGCCCAAGCGGGCGATGGAGATGGGGATATGTGTATATATATATATATATATGTGTGTGTGTGGGTGTGTGTTTATGTTGTTCCCATCTTACTTAAGGACCACATCCCAGAAGTAATTTCGAGCACCCGGAAAAGTGTCAAAAGAGTGTCGAAACAATGTCGAAACAGTGTCAGGCGAGTGTCTCCCAGGGCCCGACACGTAAAAACCCTTGAGTGTCGGTACTTTTTGGGGCGCTCGAAATTATTCCTGGCGAGCAAGGCTGAAGTAGGCTAGAGCATCATAAATACATGTATGTGCGTGTATACACATATATACATATATATATATATATACATATATATAATGATGCACATGCATATAGATTGGCCCCCGGGGGCCCGCAGATGTCCAGACCCCCGCCTGCCGAGGTCCCCAAAGATTGGCCCTCCAGGCGGTGGTCGTGTATCTGCACTCCCGCCTCAGACGCACAGCAGAAAGCAACGGCCCCTGGAGGTGGGGAGAGGATGATGATGATAGTTGGAGGTGGAGCTGGAGGCTTCCACAACCACTACCATAGGTAGGAGAGGATGATGATGATGATGATGATGATGACGATGACGATGACGATGATGATGATGATGATGATGATGATGATGATGATGATGATGATGATGATGATGATGATGATGATGATAACGATGATGATGATGATGATGAGGATGATGAGGATGTTGATGATGATGAGGATGGTGCTGCTGTTGATGCTGATGATGATGCTGGTGCTGATGGTGATGATGACGATGATGTTGATTATGAGTACGATGATGATTATGATGCTGATGATGAGGAGGAAGAGGAGGGTGACAATGATGATGATGATGATGCTGATGTTGATGATGATGATGATGCTGATGTTGATGATGATGATTATGATGATGTTCATGCTGATGATGATGATCATGATGATGATGATGACGATGACGATGATAATGATGAGGATGATGAGGATGATGAGGATGATGAGGATGACGATGACGATGCTGATGCTGATGATGATGATGATGATGATGCTGATGATGATGATGATGATGATGATGATGATGATGATGATGATGATGATTATGATGATAGGGGGGAGGAGGAGGAGGAGGAGGAGGAGGAGGAGGAGGGAGGAGGAGGAGGAGCAGGAGGAGAAGGAGAAGGACGAGGAGGACCTCCACACCCTCTCTTCTCCCCCGTCCTACCTGTGGTAGCGGTGGTAGAGACTTGGCCCATCAGGAGTGGGCCGCGGGCGGCGTAGGCGGCCATGGGGAGGCTCTGCGGCGCAGGGGGCCCGACAGCCTGTCCCACGCCAGCTTCTGGCCGCTCTCACAGGGCGGCGCCTCGGCCGCCTCCCCGCCAGTGAGGCCCCTGCGCCGTGGGTGGCCTCCTCCTCCTCCTCCTCTCCTCCCTCCTCCTCCTCCTCGTCCTCCTCCTCCTCCTCCTCCTCCTCCTCTCTCTCTCCTCCTCTCTCCTCCTCCTCCTCCTCCTCCTCCTCCTCCTCCTCCTCCTCCTTCTCGTCCTCCTCCTCCTCCTCCTCATCATCATCTTCCTCCCTCCCTCCTTATTTCGGCCTCCGAGGCACGAGCGCTCACCCTCCCAGCCTCCAAACACAAAACGCCCACGGCGCAGGGGTCTCCCCTCGTGATCTGAGGGCTTCCTGACTCAGCCAGAGAAGCTGGGACCGAGCAAACAATTGGGACCGAACCCCGAAATTCTTTCTCGGAGCAAGAATTTGTTGTTCGGTCCGAACCAAAGTTGTGTTCGGCCGAAAACTGCTGCTCGGTCTCAGAACTTGTGTTCGGACTGACGGAGAGGGCGGTGGGCTGGGTTGCGCCGGGCTCAACAGCTCATGGTCGCGCTTTCTGCCAGCTCGAGAGAGGAGACGGAGGAAGAGGGGATGACGACGACGAGGAATGAGGGGGTGATATAGGCGAGAGAAAAAACGAGGGGGGGAAGACGACGACGACGGGGAATATGATGAGTCAATGATGAGTATGAATGTCAAGTTCGCTCTCGGCGGCGTGCTTCTGGTTTTGGAAGCGGAGGAGGAGGAAGCAGGAGGAGGAGGAGACAGTGGCGAAGGGGGAGAAAGAGAGAATGTCAAGAGGGAGGAGGAAGAGACAGATGGGGAAGGGGCATGAAAAAAGGTAGGGGCGGGGCTGGAGTAGAGAGAGGGGGAGAAAGAGGAGAGAGGAGAAGAAGGACGATGAGGACTACAAGGATGAGGAGGAAGAGGAAGAGGAAAAGAAGGGGACAAGCAGAACTGATGAGGAAAAGGAACTTCGGCCCACGTGGGCCAGAACATGACCCGAAGACAATCTAGCACGGAGCCCCTGCAACAGTGCCTTCCTTGCCTTCCATCCTAAAAACCATTCCCTTCTTTCCTGGGCGGCTTTGCAGAAACGCCCGGAATGCCCCGCCAAAATAACCATATGACACCGGAGAAAAAACCCAATCAGATGTTTGTTGGGGCTATGGGGCTCTAGGGCTATAAAGCTAGAAGGTTATGAGGCTATAGGGTTATAGGGCTCTTGGGCTATTGGGCCATAAGGCTATAGGGCTATAAGGCTGTAGAGCTATAGGGCTATAGTAGGGCTATAAGGTTATGGGGCTATAGGGCTATAGGGCTATTGCGCTACAGGGCTATAGGGCTATAGGGCTATGGGGCTATAAAACTATAGGGCTATAGGGCTATAGGGCTATATGCTATTGGGCTATTGGGCACCCCGGGCACCCGGGCCCCCGGGCACCCCGGGCACCCGGGCACCCTGGCACCCGGGCACCCGGGCCCGGCCACCGAAATCGGCGACCAACCTCACCGGCCACCCCGACACCGCCGGGCACCCGGGCACCCGGGCACCCGGGCCCGGCCACCGAAATCGGCCGCACCTCTCACCTAAGCCTTTAATCCGCAACAGTGCCTTCCTTGCCTTCCATCCTAAAGACCATTCCCTTCTTTCCTGGGCGGCTTTGCAGAAGCGCCCGGAATGCCCGGCCATTTTAACCATATGAGGGGCTGTGGACATCGCCGGGAATGAGGGCTGGGAGAAGCACGGCGAGGATGAGGATGAAGAGGATGCGGAAGAAGTTGAGCTGGAGAAGCATACAGTCGAGCTGCCGATAGAAGGAACGATACACAAGGAACGAAGCCCCTCTTTGGCCCCACAGGCGCCTGCGTGCACGACGAAGGCTAGAGAAAAGCCCTAGCAGGACCTAAGGAATATCGAGCCCCTTTCTTACTCAAACTGTTCCTTATTTCAGTGACTTGGCTGTACCTCGCCGATGCGGCGAGGGGGAGGAGGAGGAGGAGGAGGAGGAGGAGGAGGAGGGGAGGAGGAGGAGGAGGAGAGGAGGAGGAGGAGGAGGACGAGGAGGAGGAGGAGGGGAGGAGGAGGGGGAGGGGGAGGAGGGCGAGGGCGAGGCTGTACCAGCAGCAACTGTTTGCTCTGCTGCGCTCCAGGTCGGCGCTCGAGGCGGCCGGCCAGATATCCCTCAGGCACACAGGACGCAGACGCCGCCTGCCTCCTTGATCTTCGCCTCGGCCTCCTTCGTGGGCAGTCGAGGCCCATCTGGCAGGCCCAATCTCCTCCCCCTCCTCCTCCTCATCATCATCATCTTCCTCCTCCTCCTCCTCCTCCTCCTCCTCCTCCTGCTGCTCCTTCTCCTCTCCTCCTCCTCCTCCTCCTCCTCCTCCTCCTCCTCCTCCTCCTCCTCCCTCCGCCCCCCCCCCCTCCTCCCCGCCTCGCCCCCCCCCCCCCCCCCCTCCGCCCCGCCCGCACACGGGGGCAATCTGGCGAGGGAGCCACCGCGAATCCAGTCTGGCGAGTAACCCAAATCCTCCAATCTGGCCAGGCCAGGTTGGCCCTTGGGGCCCAAGCCAATCTGCCAGTCTGGACTTCGACTACCCAGTCCTTCGTGAAGTACCGCGCCTTCACGATGAGCGGCTGCTCGGGAAGTTGCCCCTTGCCGCAGACCTTCATGTAGCCCGCCTTCATCACGTCGATGACGGGGGCCTTGTCCTTCTTCGCCGCGAACTGCTCCCGCGTCCCCTCGGGCACCAGCGACCAGAGCTTGTCGACATTGATCAAGGGGCAGACCTTCCCGTGCTTGATGAGGTGGAAGTTCCGCATGCCCACCTTGCCTCACGAGTGGCATATCCGTATCCGCGCCCTCGCGGTCTGGATTCTGGGGGCGGTCCCGCGGATGCGCGGTCGCACGCCTACGCTCCGCGCGGTGCGCCCGCGAAACAGATCCCCGCATCCGCGGGGTCGCGACCCAGGGGTCCTGCCCGCCAGGCCGCGGATACGGATATATTTTTCGCCCACGATTGCCGAAGTAGCCGGGGTGGTACTTGTCGAAATTGATCCTGTGTTTTTTGTGTTTTGTATTACTCATTGTCATTCGGAAATTATGCTTGTTCGTTTCATTCAAATCCTACTATTATTATGATTGCTGTGCTTTTACTTTATTTGCATATATGTATGAAATTGGTCCTGTGGTGGTGCTGCCCGCCAGCGTTGCCGCAGCCGCCCGGGTGCTTACGGTGCTTGCCGATGCGCCCACGGCCCGCGGAGATCGCGCCGCGCAGGTGCCGGTTCTTCTTGTAGCGGGTCGTCATCGCTCCTGCGCCCGAGCTGGATCCGCGCCTGCACTGCCCGAGCAGAAGAGCGGCTTAAGCCAGAGGCGGCTGCCGAGGAGAGCGATGATGGTGAAGCGGGGGAGAAGGGAGGAGGAGGGAGGGTGGGGGATGAGAAGGAAGGGGGGGTGAGGGAGCGGAGGCGTGCAAGGGCAAGGAGTGGAATGAGAGGGTAATGGGGAGGAGGACGATCAGCACGATGATCAGGATCACGAGGACGGCGGATGCGGGGAAGGAGAAGGCTGATGGACAATGGAAGATGGATGAGGAGGGAGATCGAGGAGGGGAAGATAAGGATAGATCGGGAGAGGGAGGACAGAGCACAAAGGGGACGAGGAGGGGAGGATGAGGATGGCCGAGGAGGGATGAGGAGGACAGTCATGCGGAGGAAGAGTATGGGGAGGTGGAGGAGTAGGTGACTGATGAGGAAGAGGGGAGATGGAGAAGCAGGGGGATGCGGGAGCCTGAATGTGGTGGAGGAGGAGGTGGAGGAGGAGAAGGAGGAGGAGGGTTGAAGTGGAGGATGTGGCCCATGGTAGGGAGTGGAGAACGAGGGGAAGGAGGAGGAAACAGGGACGACAATGGAGGACGACTGGGGACGATTACAATGAGGGAGGAGAAGGACGGAGGGAGCTTAAGAAGGTATGAGAGTGAGGCTCGGACGGAAGGATGAGGATGGGGAGGAGAAGGACGAAAGAGTAAGACAAATGGGAGTGAAAAGAAAGGGAGGAGGAGGTCGAGGAAAAGTTGGAGTCGGCGGAGCAGCAGGAGCAGCAGAAGGAGCTAGAGCCGAAACAGCAGGAGCGGGAGGCGGAGCAGGATGCGAGGGGGGCGATAAGGAGCAGGGCTGGGAGGATGAAAAGGGGGGCGATGAGGACAAGGACGGGGAGGAGGAGGCCGACGATGGTGAAGGTGAGGCTGGAAGTGAGGGTGAAGGATGGGAGGGAGACGACGGAAGCGGAGAGGAGGGACGGGCGCGGAGGGAGGATGGAAAGAAGCCGTCAAGAAAACACAAAAAGGGGGAGGAGTATGAAGGAACAGTGAAGAGGATAAGGGAGGGATAGGTACGAGAAGGAGTGATTAGCAGGACGAAGGACGAGGAGAAGGACGGGGAGGATGGTGGGCATGGTGATACGATATGCCGAGCTGGATGCCAGAGGCAAAGCATCAAGATACCTGATGCAACAGAGGCAAATGCCAATCAGCGGTTGCCGAGCGGTGATTCAACAGGTGGCGGTTACCTGCCTCGGTATGGGCTAGAACGGGTGACAGAGGAGGTGGAGCAAATAATGAGAGGAAGGCTAGGAGGAGAAGAACGAAAGGGGGGAAAGGGTGAGAGGGAGTGAGGAGGGTGCGAAAGAAAACGAAGCCAACGAGGTGGAGGATGATAATAAAGATGATGGCAAGGATGGGCAAGAGGGAAAGAGAGAGAGGGGGTGGCTGACCCAGTTGTCCCAAGATAAAGACTGGCTCCTAAATGTGGCTCTCGCCTGGGCGCCGCGCACATTCGTCTTACAGCATTGCAACCAATTTCAGGGTTAGGGCGGTTCGGATTCAAAATGCGACGTTCGGCCTAGAGCCGCGCATATTTGTTTTAAGAATTTGCAAGGGTTTAAAGGATTCGTGCGGATGAATTTCCAGGAGCGGTGTTCTGGCATGAGTTAGGATTGTCAGGACGCGAACATCATTCTGATTCAGAAGTGATGGAATCTCAAGAATGTTGTTCTGGCGCGAGTAAGGACTGTCAGGGCGAAGTTGTCACGTTGATTCGTGGCGTTGAAGTCCCAGGAAACATGTTTTGGCACGATTGTGGCGACTCTCAGACGACCCTGTCCGAATGGGGCACTTCCCACAATGACGATGACTGATCGCAGGGACGCACGAAGAGGGAACTTGGAGGGATGGTCTACTGCAGCATCGTTGATGCGTCTTGGGTTTGTACTGGTCCTTGCCCTCCTCATCCAACTGCTACAGACGGGCTGCTGAAAGAAGGAACGATAAACAAGGAACGAAGCCCCTTTTTGGCCCCACAGGCGCCTGCGTGCACGAGGAAGGCTAGAGGAAAAGCCATAGAAGGACCCAAGGAATATCGAGCCCCTTTCTTACCCAAACTGTTCCTTATTTCAGCGACTCGGCTGTACCTCGCCGATGCGGCGAGGGCGAAGTCCTTGGCCGGGCGGCGCACGACTCGGCGAGGACTCCCTGGCCGCCCAGGGGCAGTCAACGCCAGCGGCCTGCGCGGCTGCCCAGCGGAGGGGCAGAGGCAGCGCGGCGGCGGGGGGGTGAGAGGCGGCCATACAGAGGGAGTTCGTCACGTGATGCGCAGTTCCCTCCTCCCCGTCCTCCGCCTCTCCCTCCTCCTGCTCCTCCTGCTCCTCCTGCTCCTCCTGCTCCTCCTGCTCCTCCTGCTCCTCCTGCTCCTCCTCCTCCTCCTCCTCCTCCTCCTCCTCCTCCTCCTCCTCCTCCTCCTCCTGCGCCGAGTGCCAGCCGCGGCAATGGCGAACCCGCTAGCCCTCACGCGAACTTCAGTCCCTGGCGCGACCTCCTGTACAGCCACTGTGCACAGCGGACTTAGCCCGCGCCTGCCTCTTGCAAAGTCGCCACGTCGTCGCGGCAACCCTCTTGTTTCTGCGGAGCTGCCATTCCGTCCTCCTCCTCCTCCTCCTCCTCCTCCTCCATATCTTCTTAGTTGTTTGATGTAAGCGCTAGGCTTCCTCGGCCCCCAGAGATGTGCGGGCTCCCTCTCTCTCTCTCTTTCTCTGCTCTTGCCCCTGCTCTGCCCTGCTGTCTTCCTTTCTTTCTACCTCTCTCTCTCTCTCTCCATCCACCTCTGGGGGCTCAAGCCTCTCTGGGTCAAGCCGGGGGTCGGCCTCAATTGGCGCGAGGCCTGGAACTCCAGAGGCCCGCTCGGGAGGCCCACAAGCTTCCGGGAGGCACCCGGAAGAAGCGGCCGCTCGGCCCGCGACGCCGGGCCGCGGGCGCGCCCGTGTCTGGAGCCAGGAAAGGGGGGCGTGGCGCAAAGGGGGGACGCACGCGGGGGAAGCAGGGGGAGGGGAGGGGGGGGGACGATGACGTCGACTCACAAAAGACGACCGGCGGAAAACAAAGCGTCGGCGGTCGGCACGGGGGAGGGTGGGAGGCCTCTTCTGGTACCGCTCGCGCTCCCGCGGGGCCGCAGGCAGGCAGTCTCTGGGCCCGACGCGGGGAGGTAGGGGGGGGGGTGCGCGGGCGGCCGTGTCTGGTGCCTATCGTGGAAATGGAGATGCGATCCACGAGAGATGACGCTGCCAGGTTCAGCATCGGCACCACAGCTTCAGTCGGGCGTGTCCCCCTACAGGGGGGATTTTCGACGAAAAATAGAAGATACTCAAAAAATACTCCCGAATGGTCAAAAAATACTAAAAACATAGTCCCCTGACTATTTTTATTATTTTTGAATATTCCTCCTGTAGAGGGACGGGCCCGACTTAATCCTAGTGGGTCTCCGAGTTGTTATGCTTATGGTTTTGCTGTTTTCGCTTGTTTCTGAAAACGGCGGACTGCCGACTGATATGTGACGCAGGCCAAATCCATGGTCGCCGATGTGTTGCCCAAAGGACGTCGCGCCTCCTCCTGCAGCCGGCGGCGAGCCCAGGGGAGGACGCGAGAAGGGGCGAGCCCTCCCAGGACGGCGCCGAAGTCCCCCGGCCTTCTGAGAGGCTCCCCGAGCCTCCCTCCGAGGACGCGGAAAGCCTCTCGGGAGGCGCGAGGGCTCCCGAAAAGCCCCAGCGCCTCCCGAGACGGCCTGCTCCTTCTCTCGCTTCCCCCCCCCCCCCCCTCGCTCGCCCCCGAGGCGGGCTCCCGGGCGGGCCACCCGCGCCTCTCTCCGTGCCCCAGCGGAGCAAGGTCTCTCGGCCCTGGCCTGCTCTGCCGCCCGCCGGACCTCCACCGACACGCATCGCTGTCCGCCGGATGGCTCCTGCCTCGCGCCTTCAGGTCGGGCACGTGCTCCTGCCTCGGCTGCCCCGATACGCAACACGCAACACGTGGCGTACTGATACGGAGCTCAACACGTGGCCTGAAAACGTAGCTTCGACGCGATGCGTTCGCCAAAACGTGGGCCAAGGCGTGGAGCCAACACGCAACATATCGACACGGACGTCTTGAACACGGGACGTGTTGCGTTTCAAAACGCGCGTATCAAGGCAACTAAGACTCCTGCAGGCGGAGTTTGGACCACAACATTTGTCCCCAGACTGTTAGTCGACCATTCTTGAATACTCTTCCTGTAGAGGAAAACGCCCGACTGGGACACCTGGTCCCAAGACTGGCCCTTCTGGACCAACGGCAGCAGGTCGGAAGTCACAATTCCCGGGGAGGGACTTCGCGGAAAGGCTTCCAGCATGGCAGTGCGCTCCGCACCGCCAATTGCCTGGACCCCCACGAGCAACGGCTCCAAACACGTCTCGGACAGGGAGCAAACCAGAAGTGAGCTGGACGCTTGCCCATCCAGCCTTGGCGCTGTCCTCGTCGCCGCTGGCCTCATGGAGGGCCGTCGCCTTGACAAGGCATTGCTCCCTCCACTTCGTCCCAGGGCGCACCTTCCAGGGCTGGCCACTCCTCCAACTCCCAATCGAAGGCGGCATAGCCCGGGGACCTGCCCCCTTGAGCCCGCTCGGCGCCCATGAAGGCCCATCCGCTCTGGCATGTCCAGGGCACCCGTTGAAAATGCCCCCCCCCCCCAAAAAAAAAAAAACACGACGAATGGGCGGAACGCGTTTCAAAAGCTCGAGGGGGCTCACTGCAGCGCTTGCACAGCTTCCACCAAAAAATAGTACGCGAGGCATCCGCGCACGCGCTCGCGGGGCACCCGGCATACCCTTTTCTGTGCGAGCGCGCCAGCCTACTGCTGGCTGTATCATGCCAGCTGCGGCTGCGACTGCCTGAAAGATGCCACAATGGAGCATACGTCTAGGCGGCGTGGCCGTCGTGAGGCGGTCTCAATTCAAAAGCAATGGATACGGCAACGTGAACCGAAAAGGCTTTGACCAAACTTGTTGCACGACGCTTCCCTCCTCGTCCCCCTCCTCCTGCGAGGAACGGGTGGCCCGCCCTTCGCGCACAGCTGCGCCGTGTTCGTGCGCCGACGCGGCGGCATCGTGCAGCACACCATTGAATCGGCCCCACGATGCCGGCATACCGTGCCAAAGCAGCGGGCGCGGCCGCGACCGCAGCGCCGTCGTGCCCAGCGGGGAGCCGCGCGCGGTCCCGCGCCAGCCGCCGCATGGCGGAGAAAGGGCGGCGGGGCCGTGGCGGCCCGCCTGCCTCCAGCGCCACCGGCGCCATCCGCTACGGCACGCGCGCCTCGGCGCCCCTGCGGGCGGCGCCAACCCGCGCCGCGGCAGCCGTGGCGCCAACCCGCCCCTCGGCGCCGCCCAGAACGCAGTGGCGCACCGTCGCGTCGAGGTGATGGCCAGGAGCTCTGGTCTGTTGTTGTTACCTCTGGTCTGCTGTTGCCCCAGCGACACGTCAAGCCCTGCATGCGGATGCAGTCAACCCATACCATAAGGATGCGGGGTCAGGTGGCAAAGGCCTTGAAGGCCCACGTGGACGGTTTTCGAACGAAGCTGGCCAGCGAAAGTGGCCAAGGATAGACCGAGGAGGCAATGATGCAAGGGTGCTCTTGGGAAGGCTGCCCATCCGTGCTATGCGGGTTGACTGTAACGTGTCGCTCCGCTCCGCACGCGCTCAAGCACACGCGCGCAGGAACCTCCACGCCGTGAGCGTGCCCCCCATGCCCGTGCGCGCGTTCCTCCTCTCGCCTCTGCCTGCTGCGCCCAAATCGGCTCCGCGCATCCCACGCCTGCCTCCGAAGGCGGCGAGGCCCCCCGCTGCCGCGGCCAAACGAAAAGAACACTTCCGCTCCGCGGGGCGGGGCTCCCCAAAAAATGATCCGAACGTGACTGCTTGCATGCCGCGCCGCCGAAGCGTGGCGGGCCAGAGCCGGCGCCGCGACGCGCTTCGGGCCGCCCCCCCCCCCGCGGTGGAGGAGGCGCCCGCGCGCGACGTCGGCACAGGCCGTGTCCGCGCTCGATGGCTGCATGCTCGGGCGGGGTGGCGCGCGAGGCTCCACCACCGCCACCGGCCCGAGCTGGCAGTCACTGCGGCTCCCATGCCGGAGAGAGAAGAGGGAGAAGAGCCAGGAGAGGGAGGACCGCGCCTGCTGGACCAAGCTCGTCAAAGCGAGCGCCTCGCATCCGCCTGGCCCCTAGCCGCCCTGTGCCCCTGGGGCGGGCTCAGGAAAGAGATTGACAGGCGGCGGGGCGCCTCCCCGCCACTGTGGCTCTTCGGCGCTTCTTCGCCTCGGCACGATTGGCGACGATCCTGGCGAACTAGAGATAGGGCGAGGGGGGCAAGGAGGCGGGGTGGGATAGGAGAGGCCAGGAGATACCGAGGAAGTGCGGCTAGTACACGTACGCGTTTGGCATTACATTTCACCCCCAGAGCCACCTCGTAGCCAGATGTGCACCCAGAGAAAATGCCCATACTTGCGGTTATCGTCACACTTTAGCGCGCCCCACGTGATATGGAGCAGTCGCCGATCTGCCTGATCTGGGAAGCCTGGTCTCCACGGTACCTACCAGGAAGGACCTCCCTGCCTCGGGAACACCGCCCCCAAATGCTTCGCGCGCTCAGGCGTAAGCAGGCCAGCCCAAATGCTTCGCGCGCTCAGGCGTAAAAAAGGCCAGCCGGCTCGACCCTGCGACCGATGCGGGCCCTGTGGGGATCCGGGGATAGGACGCTGGCGGCGCCCACTCTTCGTCGACAATGACGCGGGACCGATCCGAGCTGGAGCGGCCGGGGATGCGAAAGCCAGAGCAGGGTCGCGCGCCACAGACTTCAAGAGACAGAAAAGACCCGAGGCCTCGTCGTGCGCCGGCAGGCCCAATTTCAGCCATAACCGACTGAGCTCACCACGACACCATAAACAAACACGCCGTACGTTGCCGGGACCTGGTATGCCTTCTTCGCCCACAGATGCTGTGTCGACTACTAGCTCGTTCCAAGGATTCCCGCTGCGGTTCGCCACAGCATCGACCGGTCTACTCCCCCAGCACACCTGATACTCAGCAGCAGCATTCGGCTAGCGCAACGTGTGCGAGGAAGCTCTCTCAACTCACCTGGCTCATGATGGGCGGAGATCCAGCAGCGCGCTCTCGTAGGGTCGAGCAGCTCACTGCACTCTGAGGCCTGTAAAGTAGCTAACGATATTGGCCATGCGGTCTAGCTCGGGGCGAAGCTGCAGAACCGACCAGTTGGGGGCTCCTCCTCGGGCAACTCTCAAGACGTCCTTAGAAACGAGCACAGATCACCGACATGCAGACCAAACGCGTGAGGCTAGCATAGTCCGGCTGACGGAGCCAGCCTAGGGCCCATTGCGCGCCCTGGAGCTCCGAAGCGAGAACCAGAATCTGTGGCGGATGGTCTCCTTCGAGAGCCCCTCCTTCGAATCTCCGAACAGCCGGCCGCCCAAGATAATCCCATGCCCATGCTAAACAGAGAGCCGGGGTGTCAAAACACTGCAGGCCGTCGATCTGCTGCCTCGTCCTCCTTCAGCTCGCCGCAGTTCTCCCTGCCGAACAGGGAGGGGACTCCGCCGCAGCTGGAGGGCACAAGCCCTGGTCCGCTGAAGTAAGCCTCCGCCTGAGACTGCATCTGGTGGTCGAACGTTGAGCTTCGTCTGCCCTGGCATGTCGGCTGCAGCTCTTAGTATGGCTGCCGCGGTATTGCGTCTTCCTTAGACTCGATGACCGGGCATCCCAGCCTACTGGTCTCCCGCTGCTCAGGGAGGAGGGGGGAGGAAAGCGAGAGGGTGGAATGAGGGAGGAGGAGAAAGACGACGACGACGACGACGACGACGACGACGACGACGACGACGACGACGACGACGAGGCGAGCATCCCGGGCGGCCGCCCCCTCCCAATCAAGTGCCGAGCGCCTGCGCGGACTCTGCCGCGGCAGCGGAGGCCGCCGCGGCCGCCCCCGCCGCGCCGGCAACGCCGC